CCCCCGCCCACCACAGCCCCTGCAGTTGGCAGCCTGTGTGATCAGCAAGGGCAGGCGCTAACTAATAACGTACGACTCGACAGCGGGCAGAGGGAGGGGGAGGAAATGAGGATTTACGGGTCCCACTGCCGACTAAATGGATCTGCCATTGCAGGGACTGAGATAGGCAAAGCCAAACCTTCCAAGGCCAGTGGGTTCAAACCCCGCCCACCACAGCCCCTGCAGTTGGCAGCCTGTGTGATCAGCAAGGGCAGGCGCTAACTAATAACGTACGACTCGACAGCGGGCAGAGGGAGGGGGAGGAAATGAGGATTTACGGGTCCCACTGCCGACTAAATGGATCTGCCATTGCAGGGACTGAGATAGGCAAAGCCAAACCTTCCAAGGCCAGTGGGTTCAAATGGCTTCTATTCCCACCCAGTTCAGTGGGCGTCTGTCCCGCCCTGCAGCAACCACTCCAGTACCCGGTCCTAATCCTCCTCTCCCATGGGTGATGGATAAACCTACGGCCGTGGGAGACAACAACCTGGCCAGTCTCTTCCACCCAAGGCCCTGCCTTGTGTGGGAGCCATGCCCTCCCCCACACTGCAGGGACATATCTCCAGCTTCCCCCGTCCTACTGCAAGCCACCCCCTGCTTCAAGGGCAGGTCTCCAGCCCCCCCACAGGAGCCTCACCGGCCCTGGAGCATGGGGAGGGTGTGTGGCAGGCAGTCTGAGCCTCCCTGGCCCTGGAGCACAGGCAGGAAGCCCTGACCCAGTGTCAGTGCAGCTGAAGTCCGGGGTCAACCCAGGAGCTACGCTGAAGCAGGGAGCAGTGTGTGGGTGGGGCCAGTTTGGGGCCTCTTCTACCTGCCACCCACGTCCCTCGGCAACCCCTCAGCAATTCCGGCCTAGGACGCCCTGACACATCCAGCTGTTCCCAGGCCCCCCCTCTAGTCCTGCAGCCTGCCCTGCTATTCCATGCCCTGGCTCCCCCCGCCGCTCTCCCAATGCACTTCGGTCCCTGTCCATTTCCTGGCCTACTATTCTAGCCCTGGGCCCCCCCCCCCACACCATTCGGTGGATCCCCCTCAGTCCTAATCCACAGCCTCCTTCCATCTCAGCCCTGGGTTCTCTCTGCACCCAGCTCTGCAAGTGTCCCTCCATCCCGACCTGCAGCCCCCCTGTGCTGTTTGAGGAGGGCTCCTCCAGCGCGGTCCACTTGGAAAGGGCTCTCTCGATCAGCCCTTGCTACCTGGGACCCTCTGGCTGGCGTCGGGAGGCGACAGAGGCCTTTCCCTTCCCATCCTGTGCCACGTACCTGAGGAGCAGTGCTGGATGCGGTTCCTCAGCCATTTCAGGAGCGGCTCCATGGTGCAGCCACACACCCAGGGGTTGCCCCCAATCTGCAGGGTCACCAGCCCCGGGAGACCTTCCAGGGCTTCCAGGCTGAGGAAGGACAGTCCCCCGTAGCTGAGGTCTAGGTCCCGTAGCTGGGCCAGCCCCCGGAAAGCCTGGGGGTGCACCTTTCGCAGCCACGGGTTGTGGCTCAGGTCGATCCTCGCCAGGCCGTGGGCCTCCTGGAACATGTTGGCGGCTACGTGGCTGAAGTTGTTGTAGCTTAGGTCCAGGTGGACCAGCCGCTTGGCGGTCAGGAAGAGCCCGGCCGGCAGCTCCACCAGGGAGTTATTCCGGAGGTCCAGCACCCTCAACTCAGCGTAGCAGGTGAGGTAGCCCGGGGGGATGGTGGCGATGCGGTTATGTGCCAGGCTCAGGTTGCGGGTGTCTAGGGGCAGGTCAGGAGGCACCGAGAAGAGCCGCTGCCCGCTGCAATCCACCACCTGGCTGCGGCAGATGCAGAGGACGGGGCAGCTGGCGCAGGCTCCAGAGAAGGCCGTGGCCACGGCAACCAGGAAGGGGGCCAGGAGCATGGCAGAGGCACAGCGGGACTGGGGCCCCTCGCCCCACAGCCAGGTGCAACCTGGGCCCATTTTAGTTGGCCAGGAGCAACATGACGCACCGAGGCAGGGCAAGGAGTATGCGGGAGTCACTCACGGGCAAAAGCGGCTACATGCCGGCGGCAGGCCAAAGCTGGGCCTTGAACCATTGTCCCTCATGTTCCAGGGCCACTTTTACGCCACGGAGGTGTGTTTCCTAGGCCAGGAACCACAGGGCCCTGCCGCTTCAGACACAGCTTTAGTAGTCCATTTGGATGCCTGCTTGCTGTCACCCTGCCAAGCCTGCGAAGCGGCGAGCCGAAAGAAACGTAGCCACATCCATCCGTCGACACCCTCTATCGGCCCTTCGGGTGTTCAAAGATGGGCAGAAAGCAACTAGAAGCCGGGAATTTTTCTTCCGGTTCGTTAACGCTCCGGGGACAGAGCTTTGAGCCCAGGAAAGAAACTTCCTCATTCCCTTTCACGTGTATGTCCGCTGCAGACCGGGTGTCACTGGAGCTAGGCCAAGGGATTTAGCCCCACGGAAACCAAAGGTGTATTTTAATTGCAAAGCAAATCCAGCTTCAACACAACAGGAGCCACAGGCCTTTGCCTGGAGGCGTGCAGTGCTCATTAATGCCAGAGCAGAGAAAGGGCATTTGAAATCCAGCGAACAGGTGCACCACATGGATGGTCAAACCCTGGGAGGATGACGATATAGACTCCTCGGAGGGTCTGTGCTTGGGGCAAATGTTCTTGAGACGATCAGGAGAAATTAAGGCTGGAGACGAGAGCCCTTTCTGAGGCCGCGATTTCTGCAGCATGGGAGGGGCCAGGCCAGTAGCACTGGCCCGTCTTGGGGGATCCAGGAGGAAAGGGAGGGGTATCGGCTGCTGGTTTGTCTTTCACGCCGTGTCTCCCTCCCAGCAGGCAGCCACAGGGCTCCAGCTGCGTGTCCTGCCAAGGAAAGAGAAAGGAATCAGATGCAGCAAGGAGGTCATGGACCCGCTGGGTGTGTGGATATGCTCCTAAGGTCCAAGGCCAGACGGGATCCGGGAGGATCCTCCAGCCTGGAGCAAGCCAGAGAATGGCCCCCAAAGCCCGGAGCTTTCCGAGAGACAGCTCATCTCCGGAGGAAAAATTGCCGGTGGTGGAGAATCCCCCACGATCCGTAGTAAATTGTTCCAATGGTTAATTGCTCCCCCTGTTAAAAGAACTACCCCTCATTCCCAGGCTGCATCAGTCTCCTTTCAACTTCCAGCCAGGGGAGGAGAGCAGGGGACAGCTGGGAATCACCTCACGTTCTCCTGTGTCTGCAGCCCTGTCTGTCCTCCCGCCCTATTCACCCTGCTCCGTCCTGAAACACCCCCTGCTTCCTGCAGCTCGAGTCCATGGCCAGCTCGGTCGATGCCCTTCAGGCCTGACCTGCTCCCAGCCTCAGGGTCCCCCACGCCCAGAGCTGAGCCATCGCCCCTCCGTCCCTGTCCTGCAGCCCTTGGTTATCTCGGCACCGAGCTCCCTTCCGCAGCCCTGCTCTGTTGATGCCCCTCAGTCCCGACGTGCAGCTCCGGGGGCTCCCCCAGGCTGGCTTCACGCAGCTTTGCTGAGGCCCTTCACGCCCGTGCACAGATCTTGTGGGAAAGGCCTAGGCCGTGAAAGAACTGTGGCCCCCGCTGCACTGACCTTGGGGGAAGGGACCCTCCAGCTGCAGGACCTGCCTGAAGGCAGAGCCTAGCACCGAGAGGAAGCATTCGCCTACCTTACCGGCCCTTCAGTCCTGCCCGGCAGCTCTGACAATCCCAGGATCCCGTCCCAGCAGGCCCCTCCCTGCTCTGCATCAGTCCTTGCTCTGCCAGTGCTTCTGGATCCTGCCCTGCAGGCTGCCGGCTGTCCCAGCTTGGGGCCTGCCCCCACCAAAGCCCCGGCTCCCCCGCCCCCTGGCTCCCCTTGTTCTTTCTCTTCTGGGCCCCTCTCCACCGCTGCGGAGGCCTGCCAGTGACCTCAAGAACCCTCTGCTATTCCAGTCTCCTTCTCCTGGTGTCGGCCTCCTTCCCTTTCTGTCTCTCTTGCCCTCTGGGCCCATCTTCCCTTCCCTCCATCTCTCTCTTCCCAGGGACACCCCTGCCTGCACCCCCAGCCTCCCCTTGCACCCCCGTAACACAGCACCTCTGCCTGGCCCTGCCCTGTTGGGCCAGAAAAGCTGCTCGCTGGACCAGCCTCCTCCCGTGCCCGCCTGCCTCTGAGGCAGACAGGTTCCTCTTCTCCCCTAGGGCTGCAGCCCACCTCCTGCCACGCAGCCACAGCTCTCCCTCCTCCACCGTCCACGCCCTGCCTGCAAAGCACAACAGACCCCGAGGACAACCCCCTTTCCTCCCCCGCCTGCTGCCCTTCAGGACACACCCAGCCTGCTCCTTCCCTCCCAGCCCCCTCTCCCTCCCTCCCCGTATCCCGCCCTGTTAGCACCAGCCAGCTACTCACTCTGGCCCAAGGAGATCTGCAAAGAAGCTGTGATGCAAAGTGTCTCCCCTCTTCCTAGGCGTCCCCATGTTCTTCAGCCCGGCAGGCATCCTTCTCCTCTCCTCAGTGGCTTCTGGGGCCTTGGGCAGCCTCTGACTACCGCCCCCCTCCTGTTCCCTGTCTGTCCGCACCTCTGTCTGTCCCTCTCTTGGGAGGCGTGGGCGAGCGACGAGGGGAGGGAACGGTAGCGACTCTCCTTGAATTGCAGCCGGAGCTGCTGCTGAGTCTGTTAATTCAGCCAGGTCTTTCCCCACCTCCTCCTCCTTCTTTCTCTCTCAATCTTTTTTTTTTTTTTTCCTCGAGGACCAGGTACTGACGTGGCGCTGTCTCTTAGCAACTGCCTCCGCATCTCTGAGCAACGGGGGAGCTGGCTGCAGACCCCACTGAGCCGAGAGAGGGAAAAAGGAAGAAGATCACGGCAGGGATCAGTGCCGCCCACGAGGACCTCGGGGCACAGGGAGAGACAGACACACACACACAGGGTGGGGGCGCAGGCAGCCGGGCGGGGGTGGGGAGGGCAGAGAGAGGAGGGAGCCCAGACCCACACAGAATGGGGACACAACAGGGTTGTTGTCCTCCTCAGCCAACCCAATTCTTCCAGGCCCCCTGCCCCAGCCCCAATCACCCATGTTGACTTTCCCCAAGCAACCTTCCCCTCCTCCAATACCCTATTGCTGCTGTGTGGGTTGGTTATTTCCCAGGCACGCCCGGGGCTGTTGTTCTGTCTTCCCTGTGTGAGTTGGGTGCCCTCCTGGGGCGTCTCCTCCTCTGTTCTCCCACTGCTCAGTGGCGGGCATCCGGCTGCCAGGCAGATGGCACAAGCCCCCTGGAAGCCGGGCGGCTTTGTGTGGGGAACTCTCCCAGCGCTAGGCCTTAATTGGGGCTTCTTTTCTGTTCAGATCCCACCAGTTTTCAAGGGCCGCTCCAGAGGGTGGGCGGCATCAACACAGACATCCCAGCTGGCTCTCATTAGTCGGGGAAGAAACTCAGCACTGGCTGCTTCAAACACACTGGCCTCCGCTCCTTTGCTTCCTGGCGTGAGTTGTATTTATTTGTGTGAGCTCGGCCTCCTCGCCGGGGCCTTCTGCCCTGCTCCAGGGGCGACTACACCCCCGTGAGGTTGAGGAGGCTGCCCTGAACCCCCCTCCAAACAATGAGGAATATCTGAGGCAAGCCGACACTTTCCACAGCATTTATTTAATGGGAAATCCAATTTGGCATGAAAGAAAATTGCAACCAACTTGGCTTGTGAGTCTCCGCAGACAAGCCGCTTTTGGGATGGCTGTCTGCCGTGTGACGGTCCAGAGCTATGTTGAGTAGCCACAGGGTCTAGCCAGAGTAGTAGCCGTCTCCGTTTGGTGGCGATAGGACTAGAGGTCACCCCATGGCAAAACAGCTAACAAATCTCATGCTTGGAGCTGTTTCTCAGACCCTGATGACAGGGTACGTCTAAACTACATGGCTCTGTCGACGGAGCCATGTAGATTTGTTGTTTTGGCAAAGGTAAATGAAGCCGCGATTTAAATGATCGCGGCTTCATTTACATTTACATGGCTGCCGCGCTGAGCCGACAAACAGCTGATCAGCTGTTTGTCGGCTCAGCGCGGCAGCCATGTAAATGTAAATGAAGCCGCGATCATTTAAATCGCGGCTTCATTTACCTTTGCCAAAACAACAAATCTACATGGCTCCGTCGACAGAGCCATGTAGTTTAGACGTACCCTGTCATCAGGGTCTGAGAAACAGCTCCAAGCATGAGATTTGTTAGCTGTTTTGCCATGGGGTGACCTCTAGTCCTATCGCCACCAAACGGAGACGGCTACTACTCTGGCTAGACCAAACAGCTGATCAGCTGTTTGTCGGCTCAGCGCGGCAGCCATGTAAATGTAAATGAAGCCGCGATCATTTAAATCGCGGCTTCATTTACCTTTGCCTATGTGTCTAATCTACATGCCTCTGACGACAGAGGCATGTAGTCTAGACACAGCCTTAGAGGGCTTATCCCTTCCCCCTCTCACTCCCCTGGCCCTCCTCGTGCAAACAGAGAACAGCAACACCCTAAGTCCGGAGACACAAACGATTCACTGCTTATTTGGGGTTAGCTTCCAGCAAGTGTAACCCACACACCTAGGCTGCGTCTACACTGGCATGATTTTGCGCAAATACTTTTAACGGAAAAGTTTTTCCGTTCAAAGCATTTGCGGAAAAGAGCACCTAGATTGGCATGGATGCTTTTCCGCAAAAGCACTTTTTGTGGAAAAGTGTCCGTGTCAATCTAGACGCGGTTTTGCGCAAGAAAGGCCCGATTGCCATTTTCGCCATCGGGGCTTTTTTGTGCAAAACGGTTGTCAGTTGTCTACACTAGCCCTCTTGCGCCAAAGCATTTGCGCAAGAGGGCTTATGCCCGAACGGGAGCAGCATAGTATTTCCGCAAGAAGCACTGATTTCTTACGAGATCGTCAGTGTTCTTGGGTCAGTATAGACAGGCGGCAAGATTTTGCGCAAAAGTGGCCACTTTTGCACAAAATCTTGCCAGTGTAGACACAGCCCTAGGCTATGTCTACACTCACAGCTTCTTGCGCGAGTAATATGCAAATGAATTTGAATTTCCCGGGCTTCATTTAAATGCCGGCTAGGTCGGACCCCGTGCCGCACAGCAACACGCGGCACGAAGTAGCTAGTTTGGATTAGGCTTCTAAACCGAACTAGCTGTACTCCTCGTGGAACTAGCTACTCCGTGCCGCGTGTAGCCGCGCGGCACGGGGTTCGAACTAGCCAGCATTTAAAAATGGCGCCGGCCGGCTTCATGCAAATGAAGCCCGGGAAATTCAAATCCCGGGCTTCATTTGCAACTGCAGATGACTACATTACCCCTGCTAGTTCGAACTAGCGGGGTAGTGTAGACATACCCCCTGTAATTAGCAAAAGGGTCAGAATACACCTACATTCTAAAAGAATAGGCAGGCCTGAATATCAATATTCTAACAAGGTTCAAATCCCTGACCTCTCTAGGTGAACTTTGCCAGAGGATGCTGTGAAGACCAGGACGTTAAGGGTACATCTACACAGCAACATTATTTCAAAATAACCAGTATTTTTTTTTAACTAACTTAATCTGTGTTTGCAGAGCAGGGAGTTATTTCGAAATGATGTTGAAATACTGTCAAGCTGGAGGACTTCTTGTGCCGATTCCTGTAATCTTCACTGTATGAGGAGTAAGGAAGTTGGAGGAAGAGTGCTCTATTTCAAAATATGTGCTGTGTAGACGCTCCCAATTTCAAAATAAGCTACGCAATTGATATAGCTCAATTTGCGTCGGTTATTTTGAGTTAAGCCCTGCTCTGTAGACTCATCCTAACCGGGTTCAAAAAAGAACTAGATAAATTCATGGAGGTTAGATCCATGGTTCTTAGCCAGGATGGGTAGGAATGGTGTCTTGAGCCTGTTTGTCAGAGGCTGAAAGTGGGCAACAGGAGAGGGATCGCTTGATGATTGCCTGCTCTGTTCACTCCTTGTGGGGCATCTGGCATTGGTTATCATTGGACAACAGGATACTGGACTAGATGGACCTTTGATATGACCCAGTCCAGCTGTTCTTATGTTAATGCTGTAAACATCAGGCTATCAGCTATTCTGGGGTAGCTTCCTCTTGTGGTTTTTTTTTTCACAAAAAAATGTGGAAAGGTCTTGGGTCTATTCTGCTTCCGAACAAAAACAAGTTCCGAAAACTGGAAATTGTTTGTGAAGTGGAATTCCTGGTTTGCCGGCCAGCCCTAATCTCATGATCATCTGCAGTGGCCTGCCATGGAAATTGGGTATCAGGGCTGGGGGAACAGAACTAGCAGTCTTATACGTACCAAGGGCATCCTCCAAGCAGAACACCAGTCACCAAACATTATCCGCTGGGGCCTGTGAGCCAAAAGGATGGGGATACCAAATCCCAGGTCAACAGTCTTATCAGAGACAGCCCACAGAGAACCCGCATGGACACTTGGTCTTTGTGGCTCACCAACAGGCTGTCTGTGACGGAGGAAAACAGGGCTATTTCAGTACCATGGCCAGGTCTCAAAGCACAGCTTAAGGGATTCCAGAACTCCAGTTCTGTCTCATCAAATAATCACTCCACTCTTTTAAAAAACACCTTAGAGGCAGAACATCCTGGTGCAGGATTTCTCTGGCCCACGTGGATCCAACCCTCCTCTTGCAGGATCTCCTGGTTCCGAAGGTGCGCAGGGGTAGAAGTGGGGAAAGGCGGAGGCAGGGGTTAAGTTGAAAGGTGTAGCCAAAGCGGGAGGTTCCTAAAACCCAGTTGCTCCCCATCTGCCGCAAAACTCACAGTGGCCACCATGGTCCAGTGCAGGGCAAATTGGCAGCTGGAGGCTAAAGGAGGCACAACCTGTGGTCATCTATGTCAGGCCAGGTCTCCACGGCTGGAGAAAACGGATTCAAGATACGCAACCCCAGCTATGTGAATTGCCTCGATTTTCTGGGGCAGCCCCACAGTGGGAGAGTGAGGGGAGAGCACACATTTTTGTTTCTGCCTGTTAAATTTGCCCAGATGGTTGTGACAGAAGGTCACTGCGGCAGGTCTTTGTTGGGGGCCGTGGGTCTGTGCTGGGGGGGGATTCTGTCTTTGTGCAGCCATGGGAGTGTCACGTCTGCCTTGGAGCATTGTGCCTGCATGGGGGCGCCCTGTGCAAAAGGCATGCATATTTACCTTTTGTCGCGTAGGCAAGGGAAGTCACTGGGCCCTGCACCCCCGTCCTCAGTCAGCTGAGACACCTAACCAGTAGGCGTAACAGCAGGTTTATTGGTTCACAGGGACACAGCACAGACATCTCAGCACAGGAACCAGAAGCAGCCAGCACCATCGGTCTCTGGGAGGGGGGGTCAGAGCCAAGGGCCCTATCTCTGCACCCCATGCCAGCCAGACTAACCCACACACCCAGAAGCTCACTGCAGCTCTGCAGCCGGCCTTGCCTCCAGCCTTTGTCCAGCTCCCCGGGCAAAAGGTGTCACCTGGTTAGACATCCTCCCAGGCTTAGGTTACAGAAAGCATCGGCCCTTGTGTACATTTGGGAGACACCCACCCCGAAATTCCCATGCCCATCCAGGGATTGGTGCAGTGCCCAGGGAAACTGAGGCCCACCCACAAGGTTACTACAGAACAAAGAAATGACACACGACATAAAGCACACAGAGTGAACCCAGTCCCCGCTGCATCACACCTTTGTGATGGGGGTGTTGTGCGTCTGTGAGGGGGTTGGTGTCTTTCTGCGGGTGGGTGTTGGGATGTTGTTTGTGTGTCTGGGGGCACGGATATAATTTAGATCAGCTCTGGGGCAGGGATGGGCTACAGCCTTGATCGGGCCCCTGCTTCGGTTTAAACCAGGCAGAAGCATGGGGAGCTGTCTGTGCTGGTGGGATTTGTCTTGCCTAGGATTGTTGCACTGGCACTAGCAGGCCCCGCTAAGGGTTGCCAGGCATCTGGCTTTTGACTGGAACACCTGGTCAAAAACGGAGCCGGCCCTGCCGCCCAGGACGTGAGTAGTCGGGTTGGCAGCGCAGCCGGCGGGCAGGGCTAAAGCAGACTCCATGCAGCTCCTGGAGGTGGCGGATGGGTCCCTGTGGCCCCTAGGCACACTGCCGCTCCCATTGGTCTGGAACTGTGGTGATTGGTGCCGGGCCCTGGACCCCAAACCACCTCCCACACCCCAGCCCCTTGCCTCAGCCCAGAACCCCTTCCTGCACCCCAACCCCTTCATCCCTGGCCCATCCCAGAGCCTGCACCACTAGCAGGTGCCCTCAGCCCCTGTGCCCGAGTCCCCAGCCCAGAGCCATCTCTTACAGCCTGAACCCCTCAATTCTGGCTCCACCCAGAGCCCTCAAGCTCCTCCTCCCCCCTGCATCACAACCCAGCCCTTGCCTCAGCCCAGAACCCCTTCCTGCACCCCAACCCCTTCATCCCTGGCCCATCCCAGAGCCTGCACCACTAGCAGGTGCCCTCAGCCCCTGTGCCCGAGTCCCCAGCCCAGAGCCATCTCTTACAGCCTGAACCCCTCAATTCTGGCTCCACCCAGAGCCCTCAAGCTCCTCCTCCCCCCTGCATCACAACCCAGGGGAAATAAGAGACTGAGGGAGGGGGACAGGAAGCATCAGAGAATGGGGGGGGGGGAGTCTTGGGAAAGGGGTGGCAGGGGGGGTGCAGTTTTGTGCCATTAGAAAGTTGGCAACCCTACTCCGGACGTCTTGACCTGGGCTGCCACTCTGATCTCTGGGTGTGCCGCCCGCGACAGCTCATGAACGCTCTTGTGTTCTGGCCCCAGTTCTCCGGCCCTGGGTTGGGTTGGTCCAGGATGGGGCACCTTACCCCTGACCAGAGGTGGGTTAACGTTTGGTGGAGCCCTGGGCCAGAACTAATATGGGCCCCGCATGCCTTCCGCCTGCTGCCCCACCTCCACTGTCCATCACTGTTCCGCCCACAGGCCTGCCCCATTCTGCCCTCATTTGCTCCTTTCTGCCACCCCCCACTGTGACTCCAAGACCAGAGAAGCTCTGCCCCCCCCCCCCCCCCAAGGGTCAGAGCGGCAGCGGGGAGTGACAAGCCCTGAGGCCGCGGTGGAGAGCCAGAGCTCCTCCCCTCCAGGGGCTGCAGCGGGGCTCTTGGTGCTAGGGATTCCCCAGCTGTCCAGTGCTGCTGCTGAAGAGCAGAGCGGAGTTGGGGCACAAGAGCTTCCCCCCATACCCCTGCTGTCCTGCTGGGGGCAGGGAGCCCATTATTCCAGGGTCCCTTAATTGCGTGGGGCCCTGAGCACAGGCCCCAGGGGCCTGTGGCTAATCCACCAGTGCCCCTGCCAGAGCCATTGGTGCTAGGGATTCCCCAGCTGTCCAGTGCTGCTGCTGAAGAGCAGAGCGGAGTTGGGGCACAAGAGCTTCCCCCCATACCCCTGCTGTCCTGCTGGGGGCAGGGAGCCCATTATTCCAGGGTCCCTTAATTGCGTGGGGCCCTGAGCACAGGCCCCAGGGGCCTGTGGCTAATCCACCAGTGCCCCTGCCAGAGCCATGGAAGGGTAGGGCTGGAAGGGACCTTAAGAGAGACGCGCCGCC